CTGTATTCTGCAAGTTTATCCTGTAAAATGTATCAAGTCCAATTCACTGATTAGAGGAATAACCTGGAGAGAACAAAGACATGAAATTGTTGCATGCGCCTTCCTTCAGAGAGGACTGATAAGTTCAATGGCAGGATTTATCCATCAAAATCCATGCACATCGGATCAAGTGGGAACCAAGCTGTCCCTTCTGTCACCGTTACTTGCAGTCACTCCCGATGCTTTCTCTGGCTCATTTCTGGCGCATTCCTGACCGACCTCTGATCTCTTCTCCCAAGGCAGATGTTAACTCCGAGAACGGCTAAAATCATGCCTGGCAGGAATCTAGGGAATATCACATCCAAGAGCCCAAAAAATGCTTGGAGCTGTACAAAACAAGATTACACTAGGTTCATTGACCAGCTCTCTAAAATAATAATTTTGGCAAGAAATTTAAAAAAAGAGTTATTTCCAATTAACTACAAGGATATGGCAAAAAAATGTTTTTCTCCAAAAAAAGTGTCCAGGAGGAATAAATGTATTTAGTATTGTTTTTTTAATGATGGAATTTTATTCATTTGGTCTACAGTCATTTCAAATTTCTGATAACTTAGACGTTGTTTGGATAGAGTATTTGCAATGCTTTTACCTGAGCGAGATGCAGGAGGAAGCATTTAACCTTTGGTCCTGTTCACATCAACCCTTCGGGCCGTTTGCCTGCTTGCTGGTTTTGGAGAGGGATGTCGTTGAGGAGTACCTGGAGGAGGCAGGGATCTGCAAATTGTGAGACCCAGCTCATCGGAAGTGTTATCGTTTTAATTAAATTTATTTTATGGTGATAAAATATACATAACGAAATTTACTATCTTACATTCCCAATATTGTGCGACCACCATTGATACAGGGTGCAGCCAGGGGGGGGCCCCCAAAAAAGATTTAGAAAAGTGTCCAGAATTCAAAGTGTATAGGAATATTGGAGAGACATATAAGATGTCCTCACCCCCCCCCCCCCACAGGGGGAAGAAAGAATGGAGCCAGGCCATTGAGAGCTATTTTGCATAGCAACAGTTTTGGAGCTAACCTCCGGAGGAATGGTTATTTAACATATCTATAACCTTTAACTGGTTTCATAGATATGTTAAATAGCTGTGGCCAAGTTTGGGGCCAGGAAGAAGGAGGCAGAGGGGGGGAAGGTAGGAGCTGGGACTCAAGATGGGATCTATGAGCTGTTCTCCGGAGTGAGAAGGGCTTGGACTCAGGAGGATGTAACTGAAGAGCTGCTCTCCTGAGTGAGTGGACTGGGACTCAGGAGGATGTAACTAAGGTCTGCACTCCTGAGTGAGAAGGGCTTGAGGACTCAGGATGTAACGAGGGGCTGCGCTCCTGAGTGGACTGGGACTCAGGATGTAACTAAGAGCTGCTCTCCTGAGTAAAAGGGAAAAACCACGCAGCTTTGCCAGAATGGAGGTCCCTGCAGCCAGGTGAAGAAGACAGCCATATACTTTTGGTGGAGTGCGGACTCCTGCAGCTTTGGTAGAAGAGGCCCACGCGGCTTTGGGGTGCCCCCCTTTGGCCGCGGGGCCTGAAAAGCAACAGAGACTTTGACTGGAACTGGGTACAAAGGACTCTTGCCAGTGGACCATGAGAGGGTACCACAGTACTTTGGATTAACTCGAGATCCTGCACAGTGACACAGCTGACGGTGCCAGCGGCCTGCAACACAGACGTGTGCTCTTTTCCTGATTTACGGTACCCGGATTGGGACAGCGGGGGAAGGGAGCACTGTGTGGGTGTAGGTGTACAACCTAAAGAACTTTGATATTTTAGTGGTGGCATTAGGCCTGAATAGCATTAAATAAACATTTTGTTTCCTTTTCACAAATCTCTGGCTTTAAGAGATGTGTTTCCAATTGGCGGCAGACAGAAGGGCCCAGTAGATTTTATTATTTTGGTTTTTGGGAGGGGCCCCTGTTGTACAGCAGTTTTGGGCATCCCTAGGTGGGCCAAATATTGTATTGCCCCTCCCTCGGACCACCTCCTCTTGTTCGGCAACACCACCACCATCCATTTCCAGAACTTTTCATCCTGACAATTCCTGTGCCAGCGGCTGATCTACTGTCCGTCTCTGTGAATTTGCCTATTCTAGATATTTCATACAGGTGGAGTCATACGATGTCCGTCCTTTTGCGTTGACTTACTCACTTGGCATAATGGTTGCAAGGCTCACCCATGCTGTAGTGTGTGTCAGAAAAGCTTTCTTTTTGAAGGCTGAATGATACTCCATCAGACACATATGCCACATTTTTGTTCATCCGTGCATCTCTTGAGGGACATCTGGGTTTTTCCCACCTTTGGCTACTGTGAATGGTGCTGTTATGGGTTTTGGATTGGTTGGTTTGCATATGAAAGACATGCTAGAGGCAGTTATCTCTAGGGAATAGCTGGCCTGGGGAGTTCTTAAAGCATCAGATGCAGAAGCTAGAAAATAAGGTTAATGCACACTTTAGCGAAGTCGTAAAATCTCAAAGAGTAGAGTGCCCACAGGCTTGCAGACGTTGGGCCTGAAACAGCAGTTCTCCATGCGAGCTGTATACCAGAATAACTTGGAGAATTCTCTAAAATGCGGGGTCCTGCTCCCGCATGCAGGCCAATTAAATGAATATCCGTGGGGCCTGGTCATTTTAAAAGTTCCCCTGGTGATTCTCATGTGCTTTAGGGACTGTGTAGGACAGTGTTTCTCCAAGACTAAATCCAGATGAACAGCAGCATCACCTGAGAACCTGTTATAAATACAGATCCTCAGGCCCAATTGCAAAGCTGGAAACTCTGTGTGTGGTTCAGCACTCTCTGTTTGTATAAGCCACAGGGGGCAAATGCAAGGCCTGCAGGCCGAATCCGGCCCTCCACCTTGTTTTATCTGGCCCAGCACCTGGTTTCTACTTGGCAGCAACGCCCAATTCCTTGCCCCTAGTTAAGGAATAGTTACATTTATACAGTCCTAAAATTACATTCAGCCCTTTGAAGGCAACTGCAAGGCTGATGTGGCCCCTGGTGAAAATGAGTTTGACACCCCTTATACTATAAGCCCACCAGGTGACTCTAAAGCTGTGTCAAGTTGGAAGACCACTGGTTTAAGGTAAGGATTGTGGGTGACTTGTCTATAGTATCTCCCATCATGTCCCCGACTCCAACATGGGTGCTCCGTGCTCGGAGGCAGTGACCCTGGTAAGCTCAGCTAAAGTGTTCTATCATCAAACAAGCATCAGCCTGCATAAAGCAGGCTGTCCTTACAGGTGGGAGAGGTAGGTAGAGCCTGGAGGTCCTCAGAATTCATAGCCACTGCTCTGACTGCAGCAATAGGGAAGGGGGCTGAGCCAGGTAGGAAACACAGTGTGCAATCACTGCCCTGCACCTGGACAGCCCAGAAGCAGTGACAGGAAGTGACAATGAAGAGGGATCTTGCACGTCTGGTGAGACTGGGGCAGCCTGTCTGCGCAGACTGGACATGCTTGACTCCCTGCTTGGCTACATCTGTGGTTTGTTACTTAAAAACTCTCCAAGTGTCTTCAGGTTGCAGATTGTAATATTCACAGGCCTGGCTTTGAATATTAAACTGTGGGGCTTTGCAGAGAAATGGCTGGAAACAGAGTATCTGTAAAGGAGAAATTGAATGCTTTGCCCTTATTGAGAAAAATTCACTGTGGAGAATAAGCATAAACAGAATGGAAGAAAATATTATTGTGTGACTTTTTTTCATCAACAAGGAGATGATTCTGGTATATGCATTCTAATCCCAGCTCCTCTTTTTACCAGCTGTGAACATAGATCATTTAACTAAATTCTATACTTCAGTTTCCTCCTCTACAAACTGGGATCATGATAGCACCCACCCAATCACTTACTTTTAGGATTAAATGGGATAATGCTAGCAAAACACTTGGCGTGGTGCTGGTCACCCAGTGAGATCCCACTCCCATTTCTGCTGGGAATGCCGTCACCAACATTATCAGCACCGTGGCCTGGAGTAAACCTCCCAAAGTATTAGCTGTTATTATTGTCATTACTATTAGACATACTGAGCCTGGCCATTAAACTCGCATCAGAGGAAAGGGCTATGACTAGCCAGACTTGCCAATGACCCCTTGAGAGAAAATATCCTGTGTAAAAATTCAAAAAACTTATTTGGATGTCCTCCTTAGAAAGAGCCTTGTCTGAAACAGCAGGATGAACTGTGCCATTGTGGGCGCCCCGGAAGGCTCAGCAGTCCAACGTGCAAAGCATTTTCTTGCCCGTGTCCCAGTCAAGCTAAGTCCGTTGCTATCTAAACCCCAGGTGGCGACTCAGACCCAGGGAGCTTCCCTCTGTTTTTAAGAACCAGACTTAGGAGTAGCTTACACTTTGTGGCTTATTTCTACTGCTCCTCGTCTTGGATAAGTCTTATCTCTCTTCTCCAAGCTAATTATTCTTGTGTCTGTAACTTTATTTGTCAGATAGAATGGATTAGGGCTCAGAACCACTGTGGTGGCTCTTGTCTGAAAGTACTAGCTGGTCTGCATCCCTGCACCCAAATCACGTCTAAGTGTAACATGAAATGTATCAGCTGAGTGGTATGATCACGCCCTTCTTTCTAGAGCATGTGTCTATAATAATGAAGCCTGAGGTTGCAGGGGGGGAGGGGGATAGGGAGAAAATGACAGCAATATTGAACTCAACATTAACGAAGATTGCCATAGGTATACGATGGATTCAATTCTCTTTAATCCATGTTTATTCTTCTCTTTTCAATCTGAACAGGAATCTTCATTATGGAAAAAATCCACTAGAAAAGTATAAGTTGAAGAGATTTGCTTTTTCTAGTTTATCCATGAATGTATCACCCACTTAACCATTGCAGGTGGCAAGCCTCCCTGGGCTGTCTTATCATCCAAACTCATTAATGGCAAATGCTGAGAAAGGTAGCTGTCCAACCTTGATCAGCCATCATTTCTTAGACTGACCCCCCCCCATCCACTTTATTGCAGGTACCACATTTGCCTGCCTGTTCTGATCTACTTCCTCCCCCTGCTGGTGATCGGCTACGCATACACCGTAGTGGGAATTACCTTGTGGGCCAGTGAGATTCCCGGGGACTCCTCTGACCGATACCACGAGCAAGTCTCTGCCAAGCGCAAGGTGAGAAAGGGACACGCATCCCTAACCACCCCCCCCCCAGCACAGACAACAGGCTGGCAAGCATGTGGGCCCAGAGCCTCAGAAGGCTCAGAGACAGCAGGCACAAAGTCCCCCTTAGGGAACAGCAGAGGGGAAGGGAGGGGAAGAGAAGAAGGGGGCCCTCTTTAATGTATCAGTAACCTAGGTCTACCTGTGCAGGCATGACCTTGCTCTCGCCTTACGGGTAACTGCAACCCATCAAGCCATTAAACACACATCCACACACACACAGCATTTAACTACAAAAGCATTAAAAAGGTATTCAGTCCTCTTTTATTTATGTAAAACATAGCAAAATAATACAGTCACTTGGTGAAAACATATAACATACTGTATTCAAAGGAACAGCAGTATGATGGTGGACACCAAGTCAGAGGTTCGGAGGGTCACATTGGAGCAGTTCTGTCCCTGGTTGTGGCAGGGCTTTCACTCACCTGTACAAGTGATAAAATCTCCCAGAACTGTCCCCACCTCAGGGGCCCATGGAGCACAGTGAGCCCACACACAGATTGCAGTGCCGTCCTAGCACCGCACTGACACCAGGGTCCTGGTTTTGATCACACAGCATGGTCATATCAGGTGGCGTCATCGGAGGAAGCTGGGAACTCTCTGCACTATTTCTGCTACTTGCTGGGAGTCTTACGTCATTTCAAAATGAAAAGTTAAAAAAACACATGAAGAGTCTTACCATGAAAAGGGTCCCTCCTGTCTAGGTTCTCCCTCCACCCAGCTCCCAAGTTCATGAGCACGTTCACTATGGTAGCCACCGTTGTTTCTTATTAATCCTTTCAAATATTATAATGTGTTTATATCCCAGATAAATATAAATTACTTTCTTCTTTTTCACACAATAGCAAATATACACTTTCTGCCTTTCACTTCTTTTGCATTTAAAAATATCCAAAAGACCTTCAAAAACCAATATGTAGAGAGATTCCTCATTCTTTTTTGTTCTTTAGGTTCATGTTTGCATAGAATTTTATTGTGTGGAAGCTAGGCAGTTCTTTGCTGATTTATTGGGAAAAGAGGGGAATGGTTATATCACCCAGAGTTCATAAAACCTTATAAATTCCCTTTAAACATCGCATGGTCCCTTGTGGCCGCTATCCAAACCCTCTCCCTTCTCCTGCCCACCTGCTGAGACTCCAAGCAAAGAGCTACCCTAGCTCACTGCTTCCCCCCTCTGGTATTTCCCTGCTTCCTGAGTCTTTGCTTCTTGGACTCCCATTCCCCTTAGCTCATTAATCTGGTCTCCCCTGGCTTCTTCACTTATTGCCCAGAGGATGATGTAACACAGGGATCCTCAAACATCGGTGTGCATCAGAATCATTGGAAGGGCTTGTCAAACACAAAAGTCTGGGTCCCACTCTCAGAGGGTCATATTTGGTGAGTCTGGGTGGAGTCCAAGAATTAGCATTTCTGACAAGGTCTTGAGCGAGTCCTGGGGCCAAACTCTCAGAACCACAGACATAACCCAAGCCCTAGAAACACATATAAAAGGTCTTTCTTCCTCCTCAAAAGGGATTTTGAGAAACACGTCCCACCCCACCCTGCACTGTGTGCAGTGAGGGACTGGTGGGAGAAGAGCGAAAGTAGCCATGAGAAAAGGAGAACGTGCTGGTGGTCTCACCCGTCTCACCCTCTGCCAGGTGGTCAAGATGATGATCGTCGTGGTGTGCACTTTTGCCATCTGCTGGCTCCCCTTCCACATCTTCTTCCTCCTGCCCTACATCAACCCAGATCTCTACCTGAAGAAGTTTATTCAGCAGGTCTACCTGGCCATCATGTGGCTGGCCATGAGCTCCACCATGTATAACCCCATCATCTACTGCTGCCTCAATGACAGGTGGGAACCCCATTCCCCAGACTCTCTCCAGGGGCCACAAGACCATCTGTCTATATAACCACCAAGCAGTCAAACTAAATGAGCAAATTTGGCTGTGAGGCGACAGGGACTGGTAGGGACTGCAGCAAACTTAGCACCACATTACTCAACCCCTGCTGGTGATCACCACTGCAGGAATATAAGCCCAAAGTGGACATACTCTTCTTTTCCAAAAGGAACCAGAAATCCATGTTCTTGTGTGATATCGCATAAGTTTCAAACACTGTCAACTAAGTTAATGGGAGTGGGGTGCAGATTTTAAAAAATAAACCAAAAAGACCCTCTGTGGCTGATGTGCATAAAGCAGGTCCAGGGGATGGATCCGGTCTGTGGCTGTGCGTTTGCACACTCTGCCCGGTGCATTCACCGCGCAGGCGCAGTGTGTGGACACAGACAGAAGAAGGGGTGTGAGAGTGAGCTCGGGAGAGGTGCACTGAAAGGGCGTGATCGGCAGAAAGTCATCCTTCAGACAGTGAGCCACTCGAAGGAAGGGACCGAACGGCCATGTTTTCACCGCATCGTTACTAGCACAGTATCGTCCACAGAGTAAACCCATAGTGAATGTTTTCTTTCGATGCTGAGTGAGCGACCCAGAGCTGGCTGACCCCGCAGCAGTGGAGGCAGCATTTTCAGTGGCCGCCCTCAGGAAAGACATGTGTCGCCTGCACCTGGGTTCTAGTACTGGGTTTGGCTTGAATGACCAACCTTTAAATCTTTTTATGTCCCAGTACAGCTTGGGGATTTCCATCAGGTGAGCATGTCTCCAGTTCTCAATTGATTTTAAAACTAAAACCACAGAGCCACGTGTTAAAGGGCCTCCGCGGCGGTGGGAGGGCCTCGGGAAGGCCGCGCCCCTGCTCACCCCTCCGTCTGCTCCCCCTGCAGGTTCCGGCTGGGCTTCAAGCACGCCTTCCGGTGCTGCCCCTTCATCAGTGCGGGAGACTACGAGGGGCTCGAAATGAAATCCACCCGGTACCTCCACACCCAGAGCAGTGTGTATAAAGTCAGCCGCCTGGAGACCACCGTCTCCACGGTGGTGGGAAACCAGGAGGAGGAGCTGGAGGACGGTCCCAAGGCCACGCCCTCATCCCTGGACCTGACCTCCAATGGATCCTCTCGCAGCAACTCCAAGGCCATGACAGAGAGCTTCAGCTTCTACTCCAACATGCTCTCCTAGACCGCGGGGCCTTCGGCAGGGGCAGCCACCATTGTCTCTGCCCTGCTTCACTTCATGCATGAAAAATTCCTTGGTCTGAAAACCATCAGAAACCCCTCACATTGGGGCTTGTAAAAAACATTGAAATGGTTTAGGAGAAACATTCCATCGTGGAGTCAAAAAACCTGGATTCTTCCATGTCGTGGCCACCCCCGTGCCGTTACCGAAGGCAAATCATCCAACTTCTTGGAGCCTATAAATGGGAAGGTCATACTCAATGTCCTCTACAGTCTATTCCATGGTTCTAGAATAAACTTTGGTTGCATGGGAGCACCCATTTCAAGTTGAATCCTGTGATGTAACAGTAGATCTCACTGTCCTGTTTGCCTGGAGCCTCTGTCTTATGTCAGTAAAGTCATTCTCAGTCAAGTTCAAATTATTCTCCCTCAGCTGGAGGAGCCAAAGGAGGAACCCCAGCAAAGCTGAATGAAAGATTTAACCCCAAGTTAAACCCAATGAGAGACTTAACCCCAAGTTAACTTCCAAGTGCTTGCAAAAAGAATACAAAGTCTCTTTTTGTCATCTTAATATTTGAGGGTATTTAAATATCATGGGACTGAGAGCCTCAGATTCCTCTGCATTATGTCCTCAGAGACCGTCCTAAGTAACTGATGCAGGCGGAACGTGGCCCCTAATTCCAGCTAGTGTCCATCATGGGCCATGAGTCAGGAGAGCTGTGCTGTACTTAATCTGTGTGAGCCTGTCTTTCCTTATTTATAAAACTGTGGGGCTGAACTAGATCATATAAGTGTCCCACGAATTTTAACATTCCATGGTTCAATTATTGCATCAGTTTTTTGTTTATTTCGCCAAAAACTGGTGGTCTCAGAAAGAATAAGAGAAGAGAGTCTGGTGACTTAATACCAAGCTCCCAGGGAAGTAGAAACCACTACGACCATGTGTCAACACCCATGTCAGACATTCTCTGATTTGTCCTAAAACGTGAGTGCTTTTTTCCTCCTGGAAGGTTTTAGTCTTTAACAGAGCTGAGCACTTGGTGTCAAAGCCTGAGTCTCTCCACCAGGTTTTAGCAGGCAGAGCCTGCAGCTGGAGATAACATCAGGATAACTAATTTGCGGATTCCCTGGTCTGGCCCTTTGGCGTCCTATGACAGAGGTGTTAGCTTTATACTAGCATCAGGCATGTCTCAGAAGCCCAGTGAGCAAAGGGGCTGCACACAGCAGCAGCACCTCTGGGAAGAAGACACTTGGCATCTTTAGACTCTCGAATCTCCCTCTTCCTGCCACCTGGCTTTGCTGGCCTCCTGTCTATGAAAGGTGGGACAACACACTGACCCTACTGACCCTTGGCTCTGAGCTGGGGACACATGCTCCTTCCACTCTTGAGGAGCCGTTGCTAACTCACCAGTCCTGGTGGGTTGAGGCCATGCAGCAGGCATTGGAGGCAGCTGAGAAGCAGATCCTCCCTAAGACTCTAAAGACCCACATTCAATATGTGCAATCAAGACAAGGGCTGAGACCTTCAGAGAGCCTTGTGCAGTGAGAGTTCTCTGAGATAATTCTAAGGGGGCCACCTATCGGTCCGGGGAATCTAGCGAGACATGGTCGACAGCATCGTCACTGGCATTGTTAGAGTGCGGGGTGGTACTGCACTGTTTCAAATATGGCAAAACAGCCCCTGTGAAGTAGCCCGGCAAGCCTTTCTCTGACCCACTCTCCAACACCCATTTAACGTACCAGACATGTCTTCAGCTCCCACATGTGAGAAGCACCGTAATTTGTGCTGTGCATGCGGCTCATCTCACAGAAATGTGTCACTCCTGAGTGTCTCTCTTAAGTCTCTTTCCTTGGTGTACTGTTCAGTAGGAATAGAACATAAGATGTCATGGGGCCGATCTTTGTTGTGTTACTTCCAAAGTTGGGATCCAGTTGCTGTCAGTGTATTCTCCGTATTGTGCCAACCTCTCCTCTTCCTCGTTTCAAAAAAGAGGAGCTGATGTATATTGTGGACTCACAGTCGGACCATAGTTCTTAAGGGGTGGGGAGGGGGACCTTTTAGGGGAAGATCTAAGGGGCAGGAGTCCTTGTCCTCTCCCAACACCAGAATGCTGAGACATTCTGGAATGTCTTCTCTCTTGGAAGGACTGAAAGAAATTCTAGGGAAAGAGGGCTCAGGAGCTGATCTCATTGATTCAGCTTTCCAGAAGGATCCTGTATGTAAGCAAGGTTGTTCCTGAGACTTCCATTTTTCAGCCTGGATTCCTGGAAAGAATTTCCATAGAGAATAAAGTATGTGTTTGACTATCTCACGCCATTGTCTTATCTCCAGGGAAGCTCAGCACCCTACGGGGGGCTGAATGGGGTGGTCTGCTGGACCCTCACCACTTGCACAGTCAGAAGGATGACACCCAACACCCAGCAAAGTCCTAACTCTGTGGCAAAATGACTTTGACAAAATGCAGGGACTGTTTCCAAGTAAGGATCTGGGAAGGTAAGGTGAGATTGTGTGAAGTGACAAGTGATGTCGCAGGTGAAGGGCTGTCAGTTCAGGTCCTCCCAGAAGCAGAAGCTAAGGCAGAGTTAGAAGCACAAGATATTCACTGGGGGAAGTCCCTGGGGAAGATCAAGAGGGAAGGAAGCTGGAGGAGGCAGGGGAGTCCTGAGACCACTGGGAAGAACAGATGCCTGCGGAGAAGGGGAGGAAGCAGTGGGCAGGCGGAGCCTCAGACTTGGTGAAGCTCTGGGGAAAATCTCAGTTTGCCAACAGGTGCCCCTAGTTGAGGCCCACATTGGCAGAACTAGCCAGGCCCGGTAACCCTGTTGCTGAGGCACTGGCTGGGAGCTGTCTGGGGAGCCAGTGGTCCATGTTTGAACACCCTGGTGGGTCCTGACGGCGCAGCAGCTGACGGCCAGCAACCAGCAGTCTGCACTCCCACCTGAGCTGAGACCCCCACAGCTGGCACCAGGGCTTCAGTCAAGGCCCCTGTGTTTGGAAACCATGTCAGGAAACCGTCGGTAGGATTTGAAACTGTAATGATGACCTCTGTCAGCCCTGGCAACCAACACCAACTTCTGGGGGCCCTTCTGTCCCACCTCACGTCTCAAGCCCGCTTCCTCAAAGCAGCCATGAGCAGCTGTTAAGGCTGTTAGCAGACTTGCAATGACAAGGACAGGGGAGGCACTGAAAGAGGAAGTTGTGAGGAGAACATATGCAGCCGCCCAATGTAGTCTGGATTAGAAACAAATAATAAAGATATTTCTATTTAAACTAACGCAGCTTAAACCGAGGTATCTAGATAAGCTTCAGTGAACCCACAAATCCCCTTCCAGATCCTCACCAATCATGTGTAAAACTGTGTGTGTGTGTGTGTGTGTGTGTGTAGTAAGGGTGCAAACCCTGAGTCTTCTCGAAGAACTCATTCACCCTTTACTCTCCAGAGAAGGAGAGAAACTAAGCTGTTTCCAGCAGAGGGGCAAGGAGCTGGGAGACCATCAGAGCACAGTGAGAGGGAGATGAGCCCCAGGAGAACTGGAGTGACTGCCGGGAAGCTGGAAACAGCTTTGGAACAAAGTCATAATTCACCGCAGACTCCCGGAGGAGTTAAAGCTGTAGAACGTCATTAGAGATGTTTGTGTCAGTAAAAATACCAATTCATGATTAAGAGGTATGCTCTTCCCCATGAGAAGATGAGTATTTGTTAGCTGAGGAAAGACGAAGCTTAGTTATAGGTCAAAAATAACTCCAGCTGTGGAGTACGGACACTCCTGTGAAAACGCAAGGACACTCTGTTGGCACAGGCTACACACCAGGGGTACTCGACACTTGACCTTGGCAGCCACCCTGGCTTCAATAATAACCCTCCCTCCACTGCCCCTCCCGTGGCTCTTCAAATCTCTTTCATGGAGTGTATGTGATCTCCTCAGCTCTGGAACCTGAGAGTGGGATTTCAGTCAAGGCCCAAAGCCAAGGTGAGCAAGGTGGAGCACACCAAGAATATTTCTCTCCCCTATCTTCACAGGTGAAGGCAGCATCTGACCACAGAAACTGCCTTCCTGAACCCCACAGGCGAAGTTCTGAGATGCCCTCATGCATCTCTGCCCGTTCAGGAGAAGGAAGAGGAAGGGGAATGAGGCCATGGGAGCGCAGACCTCACAAGCTACAAGTTCAACACAGTGGCTGTCCCCACTGGTCCTAGCTTCTCTCTTAACCAGAGCAGCTAGCAGAGAAAAGGCTGCTCATTAGAACAAGTGACAAAGGGACATCAGCACTGACCTGAGCCAGATGGGTGGGCTGCCCTGGCCCCCTCACTGTCAGATGGCATGTTAGCTTGTATATCCTGTCAGCTTCAAAGATTTTCATGCAGACAGATTGTAAGCCAGGTCTTCTGCATCATGTGCCCATGTGTCTTTCTCTCTTCTTTCTTCTTTTTATGTCCAGTTTCCTTTTGCTGTCCACTCTCTAGTGCAACATTGTTCTCATCCTTGGAAGCCTCTCCTAACACCATCCCTGCTGGGATCTCTAGGTTTTCTCTGCGCTGCTCTGGATGCCTTGCTGGTGCACTCACTCGTAAAGAGAGGATTTGGTATCAAAGTTAGGAGCCACCATCCCTAGCAAACCCCCTTTTCCCATCTTCCCAAATCCCTCATTGCCCAGCCACACGTGCCCTTCATCCCCTAGTCCCCAGCTCCCACTCACCTACTTCCCCAAGCTGAGATGGCTCTCAGAAAAGTGTTCCCGACTTAGCTCCAACACTTAAAAGAAACAGCTGAAGCAACAGATCCAGCCTCTAGACTGAGCCAGGAGAGCAGCAAACTCCGGAGGGAAGCCAGGTTCCAGTGCCGTTGTCTCCGGACCACGCCAGCATGTGGATTCGAAGATCAGCATTAGTGCACGAAGGGGCCATCGGACAGAGTCAGGGGAGGCAGGGCACACTCGCTGCCTGTGAGGCATTTTCTGGGTCTGATTTATCCCCTGCCATTTGCTCACTCACTGATCCATGCTCACTGCCCTCTTGTACTACTACACCTGGAGAAGCACCTGTTTGGCAGAAGTATCTTGTGGGGCAATAACTACCCCCCCAAGATGGCAGCCACGAGGTCTAATCCAGCTAGTCAAAAACAGATGCCAGGGGCCAGAGGCATTGGATGAAAAAGGATGAAGGGATTAGCCAAAGAGCATATATATGCACAACCCACAGACACAGAAGACAGTGTGGTGATGGCCAAGAGAAAGGGGGCTGGGGGACGGGGACATCTGTGACAGGGTCAACAATAAAAATAACGTTTAAAAACACAGATGCTGTTAGGGGCAATTACAAGCATGCTCTGTTTTAACCTCAGAAATGTGGGATAATCCAAACACTTCTACAAGAAGAGACACAGACCTTTTCAGTTTATTTTATACCTACAAGGATGTGGCAGCTGATAATTCAACTTCAGCTGCTGAATATTTGCCTGGCACCATGATATAGCAGGCACTCTGTGGGGGATTTGTAAATATAAATTTCAATAGCATGTGGTCCTAGACCTCATGAAGTTCACGGTCCAGGGGGGCGGACAGATAGACGTTCCACAGCCCAGGGGGAAGAGTGTCCAAGCAGAGATGCCAGGAAGGGCTCTTGATGACACAACCCCCCTAATGTTGTTAAAAGGCAATGAGGTCTTAAGCCAGACGTTTTTCTCCACGGAAATGCACACACACTCACTCACAGAAAATGATTGCCCACCGCTCTGACTTCCAAAACCTCCTAAATTTTCCCTTATCTGATGGGCACCTTTGCTTTTTCAGGGTTGTAAAGTTCTAAATTCCTTAACCATGAATCCCCCTATTGATGACATTTTTTTAATTGTGTCTATGGATTTTAAATTCTCCCAAATTAAAATCCAAACCCTCAGCAGTCCCAATAAAATGTGACCATCACCTCTACTCCCACCCTCCTCAGGGTTCCACCTTAGGGCCATGGGACCGCTCTCTGCTGCCCTCTGGGGGACCTTCTGTATAGACATGCACAGGTTAAGGGTTCGAATGAAATGCCAAACACTGAGACTGTGTGCACTTACTTTGTCAGCAGGTGGGGAGCTTACTTGGAAGTGGCCCAGAGAGTCAATGCCATGACCAGGATTTTCCTCTGCTTGGGCATGGTTTGGGTGATGGTTTCACAGAAAGGAAGAAACATAAGAGAATATGCAGGGCCTGGAAATAGGGACTTGTCATCATTGTACATATAATCACTTCCGCTTCTGTTCCAACCAGAACTCCCGATCTGATCATGGGAGCTGATCATGGGACTCCACAATGGATCCCTCACCCCCTTTTCCATCCCCCTCTCTAATATGAAGACTCTGCATTCCTAACTGTGATGGGCTTTCTGCCAACTCCCAGTCATCCTTGTGCTGACCTTCATGTTCTGGTAAGAGTTGTCACAGTGGACGTGAAGCACAGTGGATACCTTGCCCACTGCCTGGAAATATGCGGAGTGGGAGGTACAGGCTCCCTCAGCTCACCCAGAGATGCTAAGCAGAGCCCTGTCTCTAAGAAACAGCAAGATTCTCTGCTTCTTATGCTGCCACTGATGCCAGGTTGCAGTGGGACTGGCACAGTTGCCCACCTAGGGCAATACCTGTGAGACAGGAGGCATTTATTTGGGTTGTATACTTTATTTAGGTTTAGAGGGGTCACTCTTGGTTCCACCGACCTTGGATTTGGAACTGTATGCTGTGTCTCAGAAGTATCAAGCCTCGCCAGCAACTTCTTACCCTTACTAAGTCATTGCCATGGATTTTTGGTAGATTCTCAGGGCAGAATTAAATCCCTGCCTCCTAAAGGATCAGCAATAAATTCTAAAGACGATGATTGGAGTAGGTAAAAGAGAATGAACACCCAGGTGTGTCTTCTGAGAGGCCTTGCTTATGGCACTGGTTTCAGGGGCTCCTGGCCTGAGCAAGAAATGGTTCTATCAGCTCACTTTCCAAAAGAAGATGACATTGACGTTGTACCTCAGCCATCATCAAGGCCAGAGGAGTGGACAACCCTTGCCTTTTCCCATTTGTTCCCCAAAAGCTTGAGACCCCTTTGGCCTTGGGTGTTGGTGTTGCCTGAATTGCATCTGTGTACCAAATGGGGTGGGGTAAGGGATACACAGTAAGATATTCCTGAGGCCCTTGCTTGACAGAGGGGCACATGAGAGACAGGAGAAATGTGTGCCCCAGAAAAGTTTGAAGGCTTTGAAAATGAAGGAAGTGCTTCTTCCCTTGTTCCCCCTTTCCACCACAAATGCA